GCTCAGGCAATCCACTCACCTCAGCCTCCCAAAGGCACGGGATTACAGGCTGAGCCACCGATCCCGGCTATTAAAATCATATTTTATCATTTGCTCATTTGTGTTCCTACTCCAAGTCATTCATTAATAACTGTGTATGTGGAACAAAGAAAACAGAATGTGTGCTTAAACACACACATTTAGAACAGATATATATGAAGTGCTTAGTTAGATTCCTGGCCTATAGTAAGCGCTCAATGTTGGCTGTAATTTTTATCATTCTCATTTTTCTCCCAAGCACCTGAACTCAGAACACTGAATCTCACCCTCCCACTTTCCTGTCTTTCCACCTCGCCAACTCTTATTCCCACACAACTGGCCAGGGGATGGTCGTTGCACACCACGATTTCCCACACTGTTTAAACTGGATTCTGAAAACCCACAAATAGCAAATCTCCTTGGCTGCAAGACATCAGCAGGTAGACCTAATGCTTCTCCCCATTTTTCCTGTCCTAGACCATGGGCCTGAGCCTTCATATCAAACCATGGATTCCCCAGGAACCTAGAAATTATCGTGTATCTGACGAATTCCACTCAGGAAAATCAAGGAACGAGAAGAGTGATTCCCTTCATCCAGGACATGTAGAAGACTTCCCACGGATTCCTCCACGGGGCCGAATAACTCTACTTCAATCTTTGGGACTATCTCCCTTTTAGGGCTTAAAATACTAGATGGTACCCACCTGGAAATCGAACCTGCCTAAACGCGGAGCATGGCGCTCTCAAAACGCTACAGGGACAAAATTCTTGCACTGAGAACTCCGGCTGCGCATGAGCAGCAACTGCCGCCCATTCTGCTGGGTTCTTCAAATCGCGTACCTCTTAGGCTCAGGACCAGACTTCCGTTCAAACTTCCCGGCCGCAGCAGAACCCACCAATCATAAACGTTTCTTCTGAGGCCACGCCCCCGCCGCCCCCGGGAACCCAAGCCGGGTGTCGCGCACAGCCTTCTCTTCGGCCCCTTACGCACGCTGCGTGCGGACGTCGGCCTCTGACGTCGTCACCCCCGCGCCGGCTCCCGCCTGGGCGCCGCAGCCGACGGTGTGGCGGCCAGCCGAAGTCCCTCCCTCGGGGCTCCGCCACCCTCCATCACCGAAACACTCTCGCGGCGGCGACCCATGTGGGGGCTCAGACTCCTGCGGTCGCCGCCGCTGCTGCTCCTGCTGCCGCAGCTCGGAGTTGGAGACGCCTCGTCCCGCTCTCAGGCCGGAGTCATGAATCCGAGCGGCGGCGGCGGCGGCGCGAGCTGCTCGCCCTCCGCCGAGGGCCGCGGGCAGTGCCTGCAGCTGCCCATGGTGCCGGGAGCCGACCCGCAGCGCAGCAACGAGCTGCTCCTGCTGGCAGCGGCGGGGGCCAGACTGGAGCGGTGGGACCTCCCTGGGGACAGCGCGAGGGAAGAGCCGCAGCCGCCGCCCCAGCATCACGTCCTCTATTTCCCCGGGGACGTGCAGGTAACTCATGGCCTGCCTGGCTGTTTCCTCCTCTTGCGTGTATACGCGGTTACTCGATCTTCCCTCCTGGCTGCTGCCGGGTTCCTTGCCTCGTCTGAACACACCCTCACAGCTGTTCGTGTGGGTGGCCCTCCCGTTACTCCACGAGATCCACAACCGTCCCTCCGACACCCCTAATCCTTTCCCCGTGGAGCCCAGGGGAAAGGTATCCTAGTTTTAGTAGGTGGAATTAGAGACAGGGAATGAGACGTATCACGTATATTCATCTATTATTTGGCATCTAGGAGGACCCTGTGTGTATGCGTTGAGTAGGGGACAGAGCGGTGGCTTTTAAATTAACTTAGCACGTAATGTTTAGAAAACGCTGGCGGTAATTAAAAACCAACCAAACAAACATTAAAAGGTAGTACACTCATTAGCCCCAAGACAGGGTAGGATGGGGTAATGGATAGAAGAAAAGGGAAAGTAGTTGCTAAGCAAGTCTTGTTTTGACACTCACCTAAATTTTGTGCTTTTGCACGTGATCTTATTAATTTTGTAGCTGCAGGCAAATGTCCGTGGTCATTGCCTTGGAAGCTGAGTCTTAATCTAAAACTGCATCATCTAATATGGTAGCCATTAGGCATATGCAGTTATCTAAATTAAAATGAAATAAAATTTAAAATCCAGTTTCTCAGTCATATTACCTGCATTTTTAGTGCTCATCAGGTACTAATGGCCTGTGTGTACTATTGGACAGCGCAGATATACAGCAGTGTCAGAACATATCGTAGGAAGTAGACAGGTAAAGCTAGAATATAGTTAGGTGCGTTTCTTATACCATGAAACAATACTAGTTTATTGATTTTGAAATTGATATTTTAAGATGATATACATAGAAATTTTGTGCTCTGAGTCAAATTTGATAAAGATGTATGTATTTTCTCTTGCTGCCAAAAGTAATTGACTAGTTTAATTGACTGCTAATAAAAACTTTAAAAACACCTTGTATTTAGATTTAAGAGAAAGAAAACTTAATTTACTCAATTGGTGCTCTTGTGCTTAGACTGGGAAAACAACATGTGGCATTTCTGACAGTGACTTCCAGAGATTTGTGGATCATCTGCATGCATTCCTAAAATAGTTTGATGGTGATAGAAATGATAATTCATATTTATTAAGCACCTATAAGTGTTTTCAAAGTGTGCCAGCCAGAATATAATATAGGTCTTCAGATGAAGTCTAAAAAGTCCTACTTACAGTTTGTGTTACTTCCTTTTGTTTCTACATCATCCATTTCTCTTTCTAGCCTGAAATGCCATTAGCTTTTTGGACAGTGATATACTGTTGGTTTATGCAGATTATGAAGTGCTCTGAAATCTTTAACATCTTTTAAAGAAGAAAATGTATCAAAAGACTTTTGAGGCCAGATTGCCTGGGTTGGAACCTTGATTCTGAACTTTTTAGGTATAAAATCTCTGGACAGTTGTTAACTCTTTGTGTATTACAGCTACCTCAATTATAAAATGCAATCATAGTTTGTAGGGTGTCAGTGAAGATTAGATTTGTGAATACTTTGTGAGTTCTCATCTTTCTGGTGACTTAAATTATTGGTGCACCCTAGTGTTCTCTGTCCTTGGACTTTTCCTCTGTCTCTCTTCACTCCCTTAGTGATCTCTTTACATTCTACCTGTACCCTGACCACTCTGACGCTCTAGCCTAGACATATTCCCTGATCTTTAGACTCACCAATCACATGCATGGTTACTTCCTTTGGGGTATTTAAATATCTGAAACCTGAAATCTCTGGAACTTTATCCTTGCATTCTTCCTCATCTCCATTAATGGAAACGTTATCTTTTCAGTTGCTTAATTTAAAAATCTTGAAGTGATCTGTTAGATCTGTCTTTCACACCTCATATCCAATTCATCAACAAATCCATCATCTTCTGAATCTCAGTGTGTCTGCAGTGATCAGAATAATCATTTTAGAATGTAAGTCAAACCATGCTACACCTGTGTTTAAAACTCTTCAGTGGTTTCACGTGTCCCTCAGAGTAAGAGCCCAAGGCCTCCTGATGATCTGCAAGGCTCTCACTCTCTATTTTTCTCTACCCTGTCATCTGCCTAATTTTGTCTCCTTTTCTGTTTTACTGTGCTCCAACCTCACCAGCCTTTTTGGTGTTCAAACATGTCAGACTCATTTTATCTCAAAAGCTTTGTGCATACTGACTGCAACAACCTTCTGCAGATCCCGTCAGCAGGTTTATTGTCTCATCTCTTCCTCTGCTCAAGAGTCTGCCTCTCAGGCCTATTCTGACATCCTGTTTAATAATCATAGTATACATAGGCTCCCTGTCAACTCTTCTCCTTTATTTTTATTCATTTTATTTACTGTTAGCTACTTTTCATTTTGGGTTTTGTTTGCCTCCTGCCGTTAAAATGTAAGCTCAGATCTGTTCACTTGATATGACTTGTGCTTAGTGACTGGTGTGTAGTAGGTGTTCAAGATAACTTGTTGCATAAATGAATATATGTAAGTTGCTTTGAACAACGCATGAAGTGGTTGATAGGTATTGGCTATTATATAAAATACATGTAGATTAAGCATTCTTTTTATAGCTTTGTTCTTAATTTGAATAAATACCGAATAGAATAGGGCTAAACAGAATTTTGTAAGATACCATTAGAAGCTTCACCTCATCTTGACACTGACTCATTATTTGTTGTTAATTGGAACTGGTTCTCCATATAACTTTTTATTATTTTATTTATTTATTTATTTATTTGAGTTGGAGTCTTACTCTGTCACCCAGACTAGAGTGCAGTGGCACTCTCATGGCCACTTCAGCCTCGACCTGCTGGGCTCAGGCAATCCTTCCGCTTCAGCTTCCCACCACAGGTGCGTGCCACCATGCCCAGCTAATTTTTTTATTTTCAGTTTTATTTTATTTTTTATTGTAGCGATAAGTTGTCACCTAGTTGCCCAAGCTGGTCTGGAACCCATGGGCTCAGGCAATCCTCTCGCCTCCCCCTCCCAAAGTGCTGGGATTACAGGTGTGAGACACCATGCCCAGCTCTCCATATAAGTTTAAATCCTAATTACCATTCTTGATATGCCATTTGTAGTCACCTTTTGTTGTATGTCTTCCTTTTTTATTCTATGTGTTTTTTAAGCTAAGGCCATAGTAGTTCATATTTTTTAGGTATCTGGTTTTTCTTTATCCATCAGTAATGATTTTGAAAGATCAGGATTTTTTTTTTTTTGGGAAGGTACTTTCCAGTTTTGAATTATACCTTGTAAAGCCTCAGGATGTAGAATTATATATATCCCCTTTAAGTGTATGAGTACAATTTGATGAATTTTGACAAGTGTTATAGTTATGTAACTACTACCACAATCATGTTTTAAAGTATCTTTTTCACCTTAAAAAGTTCACCTATGCCCTTTTGTGGTCAATTGTGATCTGCTCTCTTTCACTATAGTTTTGCTTTTCCTAGAATTTCATTAATTTGTAATTTTTATTATGTAGTCTTTTTTGTCCGACTTCTTTCACTTAGCATACTGCTTTTTTGTTTTGTTTGTTTTTAGATTAGGAAATGTAGTTTATTTAAAAGTAAATTAGAGAAAGAGAGAAAAGATTTACCTCCCCAAGGTAGGGGAGGGGACCAAAGCCAAGAAGCATGGTGACAGCCATAGCTCAAAGAGCACATGGCCCGCCACACCAGAGTCTAGCAAGGCAATGGCCACATACTGCTTTTGAAATTCATTCTTATCGTTGCCAGGATCAGTAGTTTGTTCCTTTTATTTACTGAGTAGTATTTTATGTATGGGTATATAATTTGTTTATGCATTCAGCAGTGCATAACATTTGGGTCTTTCCAATTTTAACTTTTAAAAAATTTTGCTTTCTTAAATGCTAGGATATAGAGATGACCATAACCTAAATAGTATGTCCTGGGCATGTACCCGGGCGCTTCCTGTGCTCTTCGGCTGGATCCTGTTCTGGTCATTTTAGCCTGCCTACTTTGGGATGTGTATTTTACACTCAGCAAAAATGTTTCCACATCCCATTTATTATAGAAATTGGCTTAGTTTGTTTTGTGCTGCTATAACAGAATGCTGAGACTGAGTAATTTATAATGAACAGAAATTTACTTAGTTCACAATTCTGGAGGCTAGGAAGTCCACATCAAGGGCCTACATCTGGTGAGGATTTTCTTGCTGTGTCATCCCTTGATGGAAGGCAGAAAGGCAAGACAGCACTAGAGAGGGTGGGGAAGGAGAAAGGAGTGAGAGGGAGAGGCCAAACTCATCCTTTTATCAGGAATCATTAATCCATTCACAGGGCTCATGACCTAATCACCTCTTAAAGGACCCAGCTCTCAACATTGTTGCATCAGGGATTAAGTTTCCAACACATGAAATTTGGGGGACACATTCAGACCATAGCAGAAGAACAGTTTGTGCCCAGTATAGCTCTCCTCACTCTGCTCTAAGGATTGACCACCCACCTTAAATCTATCATGAATATCTCCAGGCTCTTGGAGACACATGTCAAAATGTGTCTCCTAAAAATCCTTTGTACCTTACTTCAATAGTAGTGTGAGGTGGGCTTGTATGTTTTTGCTGGTCAGCAAACATCGAAGTATGGAGTAGTAATCATCCTTAGTCTCTTCCAAGAGGTTCTCTGTCTCTCTGGGGATGAGAAGCAGGGCCTTCACGCCTCGCCTCCTACAGAGACTATAGTGCATTGCATTTCCAGCTAGGGTGAAACTTCAAAGAAAGCCCTGTGTTCCTTTATTAAGTCTTTAACCTTTTCTGTCGATTGGCCATAGTTAATAGCCTGGGTTGCAAAACCAGTGTTGGCTGCCTTGGCAAGTGTTGTAGGAGTGTCCGGTGCCACATTTTAGAATACAGAAGTTTCCATTGTTCTCAGATCTGGGCTTTGATGAAAAAGTAATGATCTCGGTTTTACATTTTAGTGTACACAGTTCCTCAGTATAAGCCGTTTTCCCTT